AAAAAAAAAAGAACGAGAATACGACAAGGTGCGTATACACGGTAGGATTTTGTCAAGTAGATGATAAGAGGATTGTGACATATATCAAACGATGACAACGACGGTTGTTGGCTAAAGGTGTTGATAGCAACCAAAAGCTCATATTTCACCTCTTAAATTGATGAATAACATATATTGTAGTATTTAATAGAAATAAATACACGTATAAATTGAACAAATGTTATAACTGATAAAAAAAAAACTTTCAACATATGAATGAATAATATTTAACTTATTGTATTATTTTAATAAGTATCTGTCATATTCATCAACTATAACTTTTTTTTCTATCTATGCCTGTTGATAAATCCTTGTTGAAGACTTTCAATAAAATGCATATTAATTAATTGCTATCATGATATTTTTATTTTAGATATCATTATTAAAGATTTTTTTGACAATATTACTTCTTTTTTTTGTTTTAAAAATATGACATAAATGGAAAACAATTTTCTTGATAGATCAAAGTAAATATTATGATAATTAGTTTAAATTACTTTTATTTGATAGCATTCACCATTAATAAATAACTTCTTGTTTTTGATTATAAATGAAAAACACTTGATAATTATAGTGCATTTTCGAACATCTGCAGGGTTACGTTTAGTTATAAATTTATGAAAATGTCATACTGTTCTAGACATTATATATACGCATTGACCTACCAAGAGTATAACCACATATAACACAAGTGTTCCATTTTGAAAAACATTCGTTTAAACAAAGCCCTATATGACCACAACCAATGGGAACACTATGAGGAGAAGCTTCATTAGTTAAACATGTTTTACATTGAAAGACTGAATTAAACGTTGTCTGCATGTCTAATATTGTAGATTCGTCTATTAAATGTCTTAATAAGAAAAAAAAAGAAAATTCTTGAAATTAAATATTTATTTTCTATACTGTAAATTATTCGCTGTATTTGTTAAATCAACAGGGTTTCTAGCTAAAGTTTTTAAATTATTAACCAATGGTCCATCTGAACTTGTCATTCTATTAATTTCTAAAAAAAATAAAAAAAGTATTAAAGAAAAATGAAATATTTCGAACTAACTTCGATGTTGATGATCAATTGGATGTAATTGTTTTAAATTTTTTTCTAATTCTTGTTCATTTGGAAAAATAATTTTTGTTGCTAAAAGTATTGCAGGTATTGTTGTATCACTAGTGCATTGTAAATAATAGAATGTTGTATCATTCACTTGATTTATATTGAAGTCATAAGTTTTATTTGATGATTGTATATTAAGAGGATTTCGTGATGAATGATCTGATAATAATAAAAGATTATATTAAGAAATTAGATAATAAATAAAATGATTTACTTTGTAAATGTTTTGCATATTTACAAGAATTTGTATGTGCTAATATATGATTATCACTTATATTTGTGATAGATATTTGACAATGACAAGAAAAACATTGAGTTGTTGTATTTTTATTATTATAAAAGAAACCACCCTGGGCAAGAGCATCAAACGATGGATGAAGTGTTTTAAGTGGCCATCGTTCAAAAGATTTTATTCTTTCTGGTAATATTGCCATTTTATGTTTTGATGGTCGAGTTTGTTCATGACGTGACATAGACTCAACAATCGATGATGATGGTGTTTGTATAGTACGACCATATAAGACATAAACACATTTTGGCGATAAGAATTTATGAACTTCATATGGGTCATGATGACAATTCCATCCTTTACATGCAATTTTACAATATAAACATACAGAAACAAATTCATTATCTTCAATACGAACAATAAACCACCCAGCTTCTTTCATTTTCATTCGACATGGATATAATCCTAATTTCCATACTAGAAAAGTACGTTCACGTGCTTGTTGAAATGGTTTTGTTTCATATAATAAATATTCTTTCTTGTCAGTATCTATTATAATAATAATAAAATGAAGACTTAATTAAAATATATCAGACTATTTTGTAATCCTATATGTTTGTTAGAAATATATATGTGGCTTTATTTTTTAAAAAGAATACACTTCTTTCGACGAAAAAAAAAATAGTAATTTCGAAATTTATGAGAAAAACGTGCAATTTTTTATTACTTGTGACTAGCAAAACGATTGGATATTAAACTACGAACTAATTTTCAAGTAGAAAAAGCAAAGAATATTATTCTGTATTATTACTTCTCAGAAATAATTTACATCTATCTTTCAAATTTGTCAATCGTGACTACAAATATCATTAAAATATTAAAGAAAAGAAAAAGAAGTTTATTTACCTTTACGAGTGCTCAAAACAGATGGCATTTATTTTTCTATTGAATATCTGCAGAAGATAATGCACTAAAAGAAAAAATCATTTGTAAAGGCATTTTAATGGCAAAAATAACATATGTATATATAGATATATATTAATTTAACCAACACCTACTCAATATAAATTTCCTACAAAAATACCCAGTCTTTGTACGTGTAACGTACATATGATGAATTTCGTACTTAATTGTAACATTATTACGAATCTAGAATCATCTTTGACTCATAAAATAATATATACTATGCGTCGTCATCGTCTCATGATGCATAAATTGCGCCTTGAAAAATGTGTCATGTCTTTTTTTAACTTGGGATTTTCCAACGTGAACTTTAACTTGAGATTTTTTTAACTTGGATTATTCCCATGATATTCGCATAAATATTGTTTCATTTCGTTTTATTAAAATAATGAAAGTTAATCGTATAAAATGAATTTATATTCAATGTTCAATTTATTAGTATAGATCAAACTTTACAATGTTACAAACAAAAAGAATCGATTCATTAAACTTAAATTCGATTATGAAAAGTAAATTTTTACAAGAGAATGAACTTTTTTATTACATTTTGGACACTGATCTATGGAATATGCGCATGAAACACATAAAGCGGCATGTCCACATGGTATTAAAGCCATTGATATTTGTCTGGAATGGCAGTTGAGACATTGAGATTTTTCAGAATTATTATCTAGACAGAAAAAAACGAATACATATATGTATATAAAACTATAGTTTTAATACTTGTCTCACTCGAATAGGCCATTGTCAAACCTGCAATTGAGATAATTTAAGAAAGAGTCATTTTCATGTACTACATTACTTTTATATAGGACGATATTAGACGGGTATATTTTGTATTGGCAAGAAAAAAAGCAGACTAGTGTGCACATACTTATTTTTTCTCTTCCTTTGTTACTTCCTTTTTCTCTTGGTTTTTTTCTTACGCATTCTCAGTGAAAAACGTTACTAACAAAAAATGACTCAATATATAAATATATGAAAAAATAATTCGATGAAGCTAGTCGTAATAAAATATGTTTTTGAATAATTAATGTATATCCAAGCAGAAACTCTTGTAATGGTCAGCTAAATATATTGCATATGAAAATATTCCATTAATATAAATAAAATTACCGAGGAACATAGTAAAATTGAAATAGACCTAGTTACATAAAAAAATTAAAGTGTATACTATATTTCATTTGTGTGCAGTATTTATGACAGGTGGCTTATAGTCTCGTTGATGTACTTATACCGTGACTCATTTTTGGAATCCAATCATCATAGAATGATAGCCTTGCATATATACTCAAACGAATTGCATAGGCATATTTTTTCATCATAATCTATAATATCTTAAAAACAAATTGCCACAGTAGACAGAAATATATCAGAAAGAATAGTATCACTGCAATCATATTTAAATATATTTAGGAAATGAAAATCTATGGAAACATTGAAGACTTATTCATTTGTTTGTTAATGAAAAATATGATGTAGATTTGTAAGAAGTAAAAGTATTAAAAAAATAACATAATTTTGATTATATGAAACATAAAGAAAGAAAAAATAGCTAATAATAAGATCATATTTTATTGAAATAGAAATCTCATCAGATGTTTTATGCTATCATATCAATTTTTTTCTTCATCTATCACTAGTATTTTTAATATATGTATTAAATAATAATGATCAGTGTCTTTCATCAAATCCAAAGTAAGAACATGAACTTTTATTTTCATATTTTAGCAACATGATGTCTGACGCTATACTATTCATTGCATACAGATATGTTTTCGAAAAAGAATACTGAAAATAGTTCACATTTACGACAAATATTATGTATATAATAATAAGTGATACGGTATGCCTGTTCTCCTATGAACAATTTATTCTTTTTCTAATGTCATTCTTTTAAATAAAACAATCATTAATTTATTTTTTAATTTATAATTCAAAAAGGCCAATGAAAAATTGTGCTCTTATATAGATATTGATATTTGCGTCATTAAACACAAAGTCAGGACGAAAATATCTAGTTCCGAAATCTTTATCATATTCGTCTTTATAATTATAGAATGATGATCATTTTCGAATATTCCTTTTTTTACTTATACACCCCTATTGATAAATGGTAATTACGTTTTTTTTCTCTTTTCACCTTTACTCATGTTTCATAGCTAAGCATACTAGTATCCACACGACCAGACTAAGTTAAAATAATAATGAAATGATCCAGAATAATCTCGATAAGAATTTTTCTAAGTAAATTCTGACATGAACTAATTTAGATAAGTCTGTTAGTAATAAGCATGAAATTTTGACAATTGTGGAGGTTTTCTCAGACGAAATACGACATTACTTTTTTCAGCTCAACTTTATATGTATGAAATGTTTTTTTACATGAAACATGAGTAAAGGTAAAAAGGAACGGAGCGTAACCATCATTTAGTACTTAGAGTGTGTATAGGTAAGGTACTTTCCAATATGATCATCATTCTATAATTAGAATGATGCACATGATAAAGATTTAGGAACTAGATATTTTTATCCTGACTTTGTGTTTAATGACGCAAATATCAATAGCTATATAAAAGCACAATTTTTTGATTAGTGGTATCAAGTAAACTAAACGATGAATTATACAAATCTTCTCCATCTTTGTATTGCTACTGTTATTCTTAGGTAAGAGTATTTATACATATATTTCATATTCTTAATTGTAGTTCGTTTTGAAAAACTTCTTTCGTGATTTTAGTATTAGCATCAACTATTCAGTAGCAAGTGTTACCTGTAGTGCTACAACAGATGCATGTACTCCGGCTTCAACATCGAACTTAACTTGCAGTGGAACAGGTAAAATTTATGTAATTCCAGACGAATGTATGGATGACGGTGGTATTGATGCTGCTGGTGATTCACTTGAAGTCTACTGTGTTTGTAATCGAGCTCGATTTTGTCTCTCGGGTGAAGCATGTCCATGGCGAAACACAACAAGTAATACAGTTGATAATGGACGAACCTGTTCTCGAGCTGGTCTTACCACATCCTATATGGCCAATGCCTGGTGCAAACCATGGAATAATCATACAAACTATAACTGTTGTTATGATGGTTTCATTGGATTTTGATCACATATTTATTATTTAAAACAAAAGACAAACCTTTCTTTCGCTTTTTTTATATTAATCGGCAACATTTTTTTCTTCTCATTTTAATCATGATATTTAATTTTAAAGTCTAAAATAAATATTTGTAATTAGTTCTTTCTGAATTATAAACTAAGAAATAAGATAATGATTGTTTTATTTAAAAAAGAATGATAGTAGAAAAAGAATAATTTGTTCATAAGAGAACAAGCATGTAGTATTGCTTAGTACTATGTAAGGAACTTAGTCAAATTAGAATTAACTAGTTTTATTTTTGGATGATTGGTCAATGTAATGTTAACATTTTGACAAGAGTAATCTATTTTTACTCATACCGATAAACTTCTATAATGATTTCTCATTATATAACTATGATTGATGACCAACATTTATAACAAAAAGTCAATACGATATAAAAGATCTCTTGATTTATTCAATTATAAAAAATTGATTCATTAAATAAATGGAAAATTTAATAATTAGATCAGAAAGAAATGAAGTAAAATGAAAATTATTAAGATAAAGAGTACTTTAGAATTGATTTTAATAGCATTGCTAGTAGTAGTCTGTAATGTAGATGTTGATGAGACAGTAGCGGTGGTGGTTGAAGTAGATGTTGATGAGACAGTAGTGGTGGTGGTGGTTGAAGTAGATGTTGATAAGACAGTAGTGGTGATGGTTGAAGTAGTTGTTGATGAGACAGTTGTGGTGGTGGTTGAAGCAGATGTTGACGGGGCAATCGTTGTTGTATCAATTTCGTTTATAGTTTTTTGAATCCAATCATGATAGTAAGATAATCTTGTGTATATACCTGGATTAGTTGCAACAGCACATCCTGTACCATAACTTACAATACCAACTTGTTCCCAGTGATCATCTAACCATTGATGAATTGGACCACCACTATCACCTTTTCAAAATATTTACAAATTCAATAGTATGTTATATCGAGAAAAGTTCAGCTGAATTTACCTTGACATGCATCCTTGCCACCACCATCAACTAATGCACAAAATTGTCGTTGTTTATCATAGATTGAATTGTTACATCGTTGATCGTCATTATCTATTGTCATAACACGAACTTGTTGTAACTCTTTAGCGGCAGCACCATTGTAAACTAATCGACCCCATCCAACAACTGCTAAACGAGTACCAGGTTTGGGATAGTTGAGATCATTTGACTGTGTTGGTAAACAAGAAATACCAGCATATTCACCAGCTGCTGCAAAATCAACTGGAGATGATAGACGAAGAAGAGCAATATCATTTATATGTTGAGGTGGAGGAACAAAATCTGGATGTACAACAACTTTACTAACATTACGAATTATTGGTGCCAATGATGATATATTATGAAGACCGATATGAACTGTAGATATACTATGTAATGGACAATGAGCCGCTGATAATACCCATTCGCTATTAATAAGAGCACCTCCACAGTTATGTCCAATGAAAGCTTGAATGGAAACAGTCCATGGCCAGCTATGTGGTTGAGCTGCTTCACCACCAACAATTCGTTGTTGATGCTTGATTGATGAAGAAGGTTCATCATGAAATACAACGGGTACAGATGAACATCCACATGAGCGACTTATATTACACGGAAACGTAATTGGTCGACCTGAAATACAATAAACAGATATATTGATAGAAAAAACATATAATTCAATATGCTACATACCAGTTGTTGTAGTGGTTTGAATAGTTGTTGTTACAATCGGTGGTGTTGGTGGTGGATTTTCTAAGATTCCAGAAATCCAATCAAGAAAAGGTGCTACACGAGTGAAAAGACCTTCTGTAGTACATGAACTACGAAAACTTGTAACACCAACTAATTCATAATCTTGGGTATCATTTGAAAAAGTCATTAATGGACCACCACTGTCACCTAAATTGAAAATTTTTCATAAAATAAATAAAGAAATCAAATAAATGATATGAAGAAAAAGAAACGAGTCACATACGTGTACATGTACCTAAAAAAGAAACAAAGATTAATTGGCATTTACTGAACAACAAACATAACTAAGAAAATATTTCATACCAGGTGCACAAAGTTGTGTTGTTGAATTCGTCATTTTAGTGTTAGTGCATTCAACATCTTCTTGAATAACTATTTCTTGTAGTGTTGTTGCTGCCACTGATTGATTTGTTTGATGAATAACACCCCATCCGATTGTCAAAAGGAACATATTTTCGACTGATGTTAAATTTGATAGAGAAATAGTATTGACATTAATTGCTTTCAAATTAAATGGTGGTGTTACACGTACAAGTGCCAAATCATTGAGATAGTTACTATTGTTATAATTTGGATGAGTAATAATATGAGAAATTGTGCGAGCTTGCGCTAGTTCATCATTTTCATTGTCAATTTTATGTGCACCAGCTTTGATTGTAAATATATGAGGAAACGTGTGAGCATTAAAAAAACAACTAGCAGCTGTAAGTACAAATATATCCGAAATTATAGAACCCCCACAGACAGTAAGCATGCGATTTGGTGGCGATGGATCATGAAAACGTACTGAAACCATCCAAGGATAAGCATTTTCAGGTGCCGCAACTCCATTTAATATTCGTCCAGTTTCTTGTCCAAAATATGTATGACAAATTAATAGAAGAATGAAGACTATAAGGTTTCTCATGTCTACAATACCTATCACTGTGTTGTAAAGGATCGTAATAATACAAAACGAAAAAGAAATGAAGTCGGCAGTTGTCTATAATAAATATAGGAACTCTTTATCAATATTAGTAATAAAAATTAATCTTTAATAAACTTTTATCTTAAGTTTTAAATATGATTATATTTGTTATTTGACTTTGAATGAATTGCGAATATTGCCTATATTCTTTTTATCTTTAAATCCATTTATTTTAGTAATCAAAGATAATAATTGCGAAACAACTGATATAAGACTTTTATGTTATAAAACTACTTAGTTTTATCAATAATCTTTATTTTAAAGAAGATGATTAATATAGAATATTGTTTTATGCCTAATATTTGTCTAAGATAAAATGTATGTTGATGTTTTTGTTAAATACATCATCTCTATAGCAATAATATTATCTGTTATTCAAGAAAAAAAGAATTTTCGCAACTTTTTTACAAAAATAAATTCTTTCTTATTGTGAAAAATTTTGATTTATTTTTAGAAATAGTAATATCGATAGAATAATAATACAATCAACGACCTGTACATATGAAAATTAAAATAAATACAGGGAAGAAATGATGAGTTGGAGATACATTATACCATAGATAATTCTAAGATACTCAGACGAAGTAAAAAAATCCAATAGATATGACTTGTTTTATATTACAAGTGTCAAAATGAATCATTTATGAATTATAAACATAATCTTTGTATTACTTGATTACAATCTAATGTTTATATTTTCATCTATACGATAAATCATTTCGAATAATTTAATTATAACAAAAAAATAATTATTGGAATAGAAATATACATCTCGCACTATATATAATAAGAATAGTTTCAATTAAAAGTTCAGTCTTAAGATTTTGTTTAAAATTACAGTAACTTCGTTAGTAAATTTTTGATAAATCTAATCCTAAATTCCGTGTAATGATATATTTTTTTTTATAAGATTGAGTAAATATCTGTACATTGATTATTATCTGCTTAATCAAATAGTAATCAATTGATGTTGCCGAGCGTGCATTACTATAGCAAGAAATTCATTGCTTTTGCACTCTTAATTAAAAACGTGAATTACAAATAATTTACTAAAGAATTTCTCATTGCTCTGTGTGAAATAAATTTATCCCATTGAAAAGGATCTAAATTAAAAGTAGAAAATCTTTGAATATATCTTCTAATTATTAATAAACAAATAAAAAAGAAGATTTCAATGGCTTCCTTCTGATTAAATATATATATATAAAATTAAAAGAATAATAAACAAGAACATTGTTTTCTAATGTTCATGGATTATTTCGCACGAATGCTCCATTTTCAAGGGAAACTCTGATTTTCAAAGAAAAAAATACTTTGTACTTTTAATAGACAAACCTTTTGAATAGAATTAGATTACTCAGAAAACGGATATGTTTCGAAAAATTATATATATTTTCTAAAAGATTTTGTGAACTCAACATCTATCAGAAAGTATTACTCATTGTATAAATGTCCCTTTGGAATAATTTAATATGCAATTTTTATGTTTCACATTCTTGAATGAAATATTAATAAAAATTATATTGAAAGAAAATTTTTCTTTTTTGTTATACTTTTATGAACATTCCAGAAATAAAAGAATCAAAATGACGCAGTTTACAAAAAATAGATTTAATTTCGGATGAATGCTTTAATATAACTAAATAAATGTGAAATATGTTATCTACAGTCATTTTTAAAACAAATCATTCTCGCGTGAAATATACATTTATTTTTACACATGTAACAAACATTCTATTATTAAAATATTAATATCAATAGAAATTATTTTTACGGACCTATGTCTTAGTTACGTCATTTATTGTATTATCAAGAATTATTTAAGTACTCGGTTCATAAGTCAATTCGACGTTAATATATATCATATATTTTTCTTCTTAAGTATGCAATATACAGACATATCTTCCGCTTCGTGCTAATTGCACGCAGCTTGATTTGTAAAAGATAAAAGTAGAAGCAGACTTTGAGCGAGTATAAAAAATAATTGCTACAATTTATTACTTTTTTTCACGTTTCACTCTGTAACATTTCTCTCTAAGGACACATACTTACATCGTTAGTATAATATCATCATATAAAACTACCAATTTTATAATGTCAAACAACAGTAGCAATGTCTCCAATTCAACGTCTGCAAGTAGTGGACAAACTGGAAATAGTGGTTCATCTTCACAGAGTTCCTTACCTGATTATATTGAAATACCACTTCTTTGTCTAACAATTATTTTTGCTATTATTTATACAATTATTATACTTATTCGACCAACCTTTCGTGTTAATAAACTTAATTGGTTTACAATAAATCTATGTTTAATGAGTGCATTACTTAGTGTGATTATGTTATTAATGAGTATCATACGTATAATGGGTAGTTCTGCCAGTTCATTACCTTGTCGTTTACAAGGATTTCTGATGAATATGACTACCTGTCAATTGATGTATTCTCATGCTGTAATTGCCATAAGTCGATTTCTAGCAGTTGTTTATGCTAGTAAACATTTTTTTCGTTCAACTTTATGTCTTTTGGCCTGTCTTAGTTTTGGTTGGCTAGCATCTATTCTTGCTGCTGTTCCTTACTTGATTGTAGATAGTTTCTTATGTTCAGGTTCAACAGGGGCAACTTTTTTACCATATTATACACTTGTTGCTACTCTCATCATACCTGCTACGATCGTTTTATTGCTTAATATTCGCATATTTTGGTTTGTATATCAATCAAGTCGACGTGTACATACAGAAGGTGCTGGAGCGAATGTCTCACATGCACGTGATATGCATTTACTCAAAACAATGATTGTTACCTTTTCAGTCTTTGTATCGGGTTGGATTCCACTTTTTTTAACACAAATATTTAGTCAGAGCTTGTCAGTATCTACAATTGCAAATGAAATCTTTCAAGTATTACCACCATTAAGTATGCTGATCGATGTCATCTTATTAATATATATTAATCAACCATTACGTCTCTTTCTCTTGCAATTAATTATGAAACGAAATCGAGCTCATATACAAAATACAATAACTGCCAAAGGCAAGACAAACGCAAATACTGGAAAAAAGCACTGAATTTAAAATATGTATCATACGAATAGACATTGTATCTATGTTTTTATTTATTCATTCTCGCAATTAGTTATCTACAGTAATAGTTATAAACTTAAATAAATGTCTGTTTAGTAAAATAATATATAGGAATATTCGAAAAGCATACTGATGAAAACACTATTAAAAAGAATAAGTAATCTAACCAGTAAGCGTCAAAATATAAACAATGAAATCAATCTAGAATAATATTTATATTATGACGTTATCAAAATGTCAGATAATATAAGAAATAAATGAGAAAAAACAATTTCCAGAAGTAATAATCCATCAGAAATAATATGACAGATAAACTAAACAAAAAGGTATTGTTCAATATAATTAAAAATCTATAGTTTATTATAATCTCGATTGCTTTTTTTTTGATCATTCACTAAGTGCGTATAGAATATTAATACGAATATGAGATTATAGATCTCTAGCTTCTTTAGAGTTTCAATAATGTATTTTGTTTAAAACTTATTACTTCATTAGATTATTGATTAACATAATCTCGAAAAGATAAATATGCTGATAAATTCTATGATACAAGTTATCACTCAGCTGTTTGGGTCGATTTTCATCATAATATATTTGCTTGATCGATACACATCTGTGGTTGTAGGATAAACTAACTGTTCTCTCCACAAATAAGAGATATTTATCAATACCGAATCGATGACAAAATAAAGATAAGAAAATAAAAACAATAATTCATACTGTAAAATGTATATATCTATAATTAACATCAAGCATCCTTCCATCTTTTGAAATAGATAACTTTCTTTTTGTCGATTTTCATAAATTCTCACAAATATACAAAACTATTTGTATCAAAAAATTGTAAGTACATGTTTTCTATAAATCATATAATGTACAAAATATTTATCGAACATAATCAAAGAAGCAGATGTTTCATTGATTCTTTGAAAGATTAATATGATTATATCTCTTCTAATAAATATTCTTATTCTATGATTTAGTAAGACAATATAAATATATATGAACATATGCAAAATTATTATACATAATGATGAAATATTATACAATCGACGAAGGTAAGAAGAGATACAAGAAATGAAATATAATTTTATTAGAAATATCATCCATAAGTAACATTTTTATGTATATGTCTACCAAATAGACTGGAAAATTTACGATTAGCAGAATAGCATAGACTTGTTGTTAAACATATATAATTAATTTCTATTATGTAAATATTATTATAACTTGTTAAAGCTGAAAAAGTTAATCATAAACTGATCGTCTATTATCATATCGAGAATTTTATATAAGGTCAAATATTTATTTTTTTCAAATAAAAACAAGTAATTAATTATGAATTTTTTCGTTTAGATTAATATTCAAATTCAATGAGTTTATTATTGATATTCGGATTATTATTTTCTATTTTATTTTCTAATATAATATTATTACCATTACCATTTAATCAATATGCATATATGCTTGCAAGAGAACAAATTAAACAACATGATAGAGCTGTACAAGGTCAAAATAATTTGACTTCAGAAGAGAAAATTGTTAATTTATATTTTCAAGTACTACGTGCAAATGATTTTATTAGTACAAAAAATTATTTTTATCCATCACGTCCAATTGAAACCGAACTAGAAAATATAACAAATAGTCGATTTTATCAATTTTTAACATTATTACCTAAAGGTGGAAATTTACATTTACATGAATTTCAAGTTCTTGATCGAAAAATATTTCTTGAATCTATAAAAAATTCTCCTGAATATGATCTACTATATATTTGTGATCAACATTCATGTTTAACAAAAAAATATTATTTAAATTATTTTAAAAACAATATTCCTCCAGGTTGGACAAAAGTTAAAAATTCCAATTGGACTATATCAGAAATTGTTAAAAAAACAACGTTAATCGGAATGTTAAACGATTTTGAAAAACCATTATATGCAACAGATACAGAAGCTCGATGGAATTTAGCTAGTCAATATGGAACATTTTCATTTTATGCCGATTTAGTTAAATATAATGTAACAAGATTTAATTATATGAAATTAGTTTTAGATCATGCACTTAAAGAAAATGTTCAATTTTTAGAATTTCGTCGAGGTTTTTTTGGAAATTTATACTATTTTGATAACAATGGTTTACAAATATCAATAAATGCAACTGATGAATTGAATTCTTTATTAGAATTTAAAGAAAAATATTTATCAAAAAATCCGAACTTCATTGATTTTATATTTATTATTTATAGTATAAGAAAATCATCGAAAGATAAAATAAAAAATCAAATAAATAATTTAATTAATCTTCAAAAATCATATCCAGATTTAATTCGTGGATATGATATGGTTGGGGAAGAAGATCAAGGCCATACACTTTTATTTCATAGTGAAAATTTAATTAATGCATTTAATTATTCACAAATAAGTAATCAATCATTTAATTTACTATTTCATGCTGGTGAAACAAATTGGCCAGAAAAACATATTCCATCTAATCATGGTGATGGTGTATCAACATTTGAAAATATTTATGATGCACTTGTACTTCGAACTCATCGTATTGGGCATGGACTTAGTTTAGCTAAACGTCCTGATATGTATAAATATATTAGTGAACGTAAAATAGCTATTGAAGTTTGTCCAGCAAGTAATCAAATATTAGGTATAATTAATTAATTCATTATTTATTTAGCTGAATATTTATTTTTCTATTAAAAGGTTATGTTGCTGATCTTCGTAATCACCCAGGAATTGTTTATCATCGAAGTGGAATTCCAATTGTATTAGCTGGTGATGATCCAGGTAGTTTTGGTTACAATCAATTAACTGTCGATTTTTATTTGGCAACAATGGCATGGAGTTTAAATCTTGCTGATTTAAAACAATTTGCTTGGAATTCTATTGAATATAGTTCACTTCCATCTAATAGAAAAAACCAAGGATTTCAAAAATGGGAATATCAATGGGAGTTATTTATTAATTCTTCATATAAATTAGCATGTAATCAATCATTTTCTAATATAATTATGAATATATCAGATATATTACCTGCATATGGCCCATATGATAAATCAATTAATGTAACACTTTTTGGATCAGGATTTGAAATAGCAATATGTAAAAATATTACTTGTAAATTTAATGAAAAAGAAACGAAGGGTATGATTGTTGATTTAAATGAAATTATTTGTCCAACACCTTTAAATAATAATCATCTTTCTACTGTATCAATTTCACTTCTAATTGATAAGAAAATTATTGAATCTGGACTTAAATTTAAATTTATTTCATCATTATCAGTTATTGATGATGGAACTTTGAATACAACGACTTCATCAAAAAGTAACAAACTTATAGTAATTAATAAAGAAACAATTATTATTTTATCAATACTGATAATAATATGGACATTTTGAATTGGTTTTTATTTTAATTCAATTTCATTTTTATTATTGTTGCAGACATGATGGTTTTATGACCAATTACAGAATAATAAACTTTCTTTTTTATTGTTCTTTTTTTCACGTTCGATATTCAGCGAGGTCGCTACTTATACATAAATTTTTAAGTAATGGTTATTTTTATCAATAAATGAAATCTAGAATTGCCTAAATTCATTTTTTACAAGTTAACTAGACAATCTAAAAAACTATTTTTTAGTATACATTTAATCTACGAGTGTTATTTTATCTTTATTTTTCTTTAAATAAAGAATAAAGATAAAGAAATAAAAAAATCCTTTTCTTTACAAAAGAAAAACAGATAAAGTCACCCCATTTTAAACTTAGACAGTTGAGAGAGTTTTTTGTAATTGAATAGGAAATTGTCTGAGAAGAATCGAACTTTAGAATAATGTGAATCTCATTTTTAATACAATTTGAAGAAAAAAACAAGGATTTATTACAAAAAGAAAATACGAATACATTTTTTTGTCAATATATAATCTTTCTTTCATAATGGGTGATTGTTTTGATATTAGTAATGATATTTTTTATAGATATTGATTTGACGAGTCATTATTAGCATTTGATTTCGGTATATTTATTCCAAATAAACAGTTCTTACTAAAACTATTTGCATATATATTTGATTCGAGACATAAATATTAGATGCAAGTAACATATTTACTGTTCTTATGCACTTTTTCTTTTCTGCAGGAATGTGCTAGAACTCAAAAAAA